AGGACAGGCTCATGAACCGGCAGGAAGCGGCCCAGGGCCAGGGGGCCAGGGTTCGAACCCCTGAGCCACTCCTGCCGCCCTGGGCCTCAGCTGTCACCCTTGTAAAATGGGATAATGAGAGAACTGATGTCTAAGGGTTCTGTGACAGTTATACACAATATATAAAGCGCCAGGTGTGTGGCCAGGCTGGGGCTAGGGTGAGAAAATAATCTAGGAAGGCCTGCAGGAGGAGGTGATGCCCAAACTGATTCTAGAAAGAGCTGCCTGGCCCGGGGCACTGCTAGCACCGGGGACCCGACTATCCAAGTGCCAGTGAGCTCAGTGGGGCCGAAGCTCGGAGCAGGTATGGAGAGGGTGGCAGGAGGTGGCTCTGGAGAGGCGAGTGGGGACCCCCCAGCAGTGTGTCACTCACACTCTTCTGCACACACCCCCGCCACACACACATGCACACACACAGCCAGGAGCGCTGCAGAAGCAGGGGCCGGGCTGGGCCTGTGTCTCCATTCACGGTCCCTCACGCATTTGCCTCTCCGCAGGCCCCAGGTGCCAGGCCCTGTGGGTGGACTGGGGCCCACCATCAGTGACGGTGAGCATTGGGGACGAGGTCCGCCTCCTGTGCAGACACAATGGCAGCAACCCCAACATCACATGGTGGCGCATCCTCCAGGGCAACTCCACGTGGCCCCCTATGATGGCACTCTCAAGCCCGGGCCCCAAGGGCGAGCTGATCATCCAGCAGGTGAACAAGAGCCACAGGGGCATGTACAGGTGCCAAGTCAAGGAAGGCCAGAAGGTCCAGCGCTCCTGTGGGACCTACCTCCGCGTGCGTGGTAAGTGCACACCACTCCACAGCTGGGGCCACTGGCTTCCTCACCGGTGACGGGGTGGGGGGGGGGGGGGGGGGGGGGGGCCAGTGCCTGAGCTCCTGCATCTCGGGCATCCTCACTCCCTGGCTCACACACGGTGGCTGGTTGATTTTCTCACCTGCAAGGTGGGGACTTCAGTGGTCTTGGGCCTCGATGGGGGTGTGGCCAGGAGGCGAGGGGAGGACTCGAGGCGCTGGGCTCTGAGCGGCACTCCCTCCTCACAGAGCCACTCCCCAGGCCCTTCCTGGACATGGGAGAGGGCACCAAGAACAACATTATCACAGCCGAGGGGATCATCCTACTGATCTGCGCTGTGGTGCCTGGGACGCTGCTGCTGTTCAGGGTGAGCCACGCCGGGGACCAGCGGCCCCCTGAGTCTGAGGGTCCCGCCTAAAACTTGACAGAATGGCAGCACCCACCTCATAGGGCTGTGAGGGGGTCAGGAATTTAATATAAGGAAAGCATTTTACATGGCGCTGGGCCCGGAGGGGCATCCTGGCTCAGTCTCCCCCCAGGGTTGTCCTCACATTCCCTGCCCCCCACAGAGATGTCCAGCTCTCCCCGTCTACCCAGGAGTGCCGTAGCCTCCAGATGTAGCCAAGGCCAGGGAAGATGGGGGCTGGTGTCCTCCCAGAGTCTCTGGCCAGCACCAGTCTCTCTTTGGGGCGCAGGGCAACTACAGCCATTTACTATTATTGTTGTTGTTATTCGTGGAGAAAAACAGGCAGTGGCAACAGCCCGAAGGGCACTGGCTTGGACCCAGAGAGACCTGCCACTTACAGGACATGTAGCTCTGGGCATGTCCCTTACCCTTTCTGCTAAAGCACCTCCTGGCCTCCATGAGGGTCTGAAAACACATTCTCTCCCCTATTCACGGAGGCTCCCAATCCCCCAACAGAAACGGTGGCAGAACATGAAATTCGGGGCAGATGTCCAGGATGACTATGAAGATGAAAATCTTTATGAGGTGAGTGGAAGGTGGGGGCAGGTGCGTGTCTGTGGGTGGGGCTCTTACGGGGTTCCTCCCTGAGGTTGGCCGGGGAGCAGGGACCCAGGCGTCCGGGCCCTGAGGCTCACCACCCCGTTTCCACCCCAGGGCCTGAACCTTGATGACTGCTCCATGTATGAGGACATCTCCCGGGGCCTCCAGGGCACCTACCAGGATGTGGGTAGCCTCCACATCGGAGACGTTCAGCTAGAGAAGCCGTGACCCAGCCGGGCTGCCCCACCAGCTGGGCACCCAAACCGTGTCTCACCCCACTTCCCTGGAACCCGCTCTCTTTTCACAATCTTTCCTGGGAGTATCCTGACTCAACTTCCCCCTTGGGAGTGGCCACTTTTCTTCCCTCTAGACCGTCCTCATCCCCTCCCCACACCCTAACTCAATCCTCCCCTTACTGCCTTTCCCAGGCTCCCCCTCATCCAGCGGGTAATGAGCCCTTAGTCACTGCTTCTAGGGGAGCTGATTGTAGCAGCCTCATTAGTGTCACCTCCCCGCTCCCTGCTCTGTCATGGCCACTTAGTGATAATAAATGCTTCCCAACTGCAGACCTTCGCAGGAGTCACGGATCTCATGGGGACCACTCCCCCTCCTCCTCTGGGACCCAGAGGTTCCAGGACCTCAGCCCCCTCCTCCCCCAGCTCCTGACCACTCTCCACACCTGGGACCAGGTAGCCAGTCTTGGCTGTCCCCTGAAAGAACCAGGAAGTGTCTTGGGAAGGGCCCCAACCCAGGCCATGTGCCTGAGCAGAGGGGGACACATAGGGGGCCCAGGTAACCATATTCATTTATGCATATTTAAGTCCCAAAGACACAGTGGACTGTCAGGTGAGACTGGTACCAAATTCTGACCATGGCCACACCTGTTCTCTGGGAGTGGACTTGTAGAAGCGGGATTTGGAGAGTCTGTGGCCCTAAACTGGGGATGGTGGGGAAATCCAGAGGCGGTTGACAGAGAGGAACAGAGATACAGAGTTTTTGAGCTAGAGAGGGGAGGGAAATCGAGACAAGGATAATGATGGAGAGACAGAGCAAGTGAATTGAAAGGCACTGAGGAGAAAGGGCATCAGAGACAGAGAGACAGCAGGAAGAGACAGGAAGGAAAGAAGGGTCCATAGAAAAATGGACATCGAGAGGCTGACCCCCCTGAGACTCTAGGGAAAGCAACAGTTGGGGAAATGACTGATGGCGATGCAGAAAGATACAGACCCAGAGATGGGGAGAGAAGGCTCCGAGGAAGAAAGTGACAACGAGTTGAAAAGACAACGGGAAGAAGCAGGGGCCTGGGAGCGGGAAGGAAAGACCTCAACGGAAAAAGAGAGACAGACACAAAGAGAGGAACACGGACAGAAACACACAAAGGCAAAAAAAAAGAGAGGAAGACCAAGAGACACACAGAAACGGAAAGCAGGGGCGGCTGCTGCGCAGACTGAGGCGGACGCAGGGCCCCCTGCCTCGCCAGGGAGGTGATGGCCGACGCCAGACATACATGAGAAAGGTGGAACCCGCGCCCTGCGTACGGGCAGAAGGACTAAGCCGGCAGAGGTCGGGCGGGTCCCGGGCGGAGCGGGGAAAAGGAGGGGGCGGGGCTGGCGGCGAGAAGGGGAAGGAGGCGGAGGTGCCGGGCGGGCCCGGGGCGCGGGCAGGAAGCGGGGAGGGGCGGCGGGGCGGGGGCCTCCGGAAAAACGCCCCAACTTCCTGCCCCGCCAGAGCCAGGAAGCGGGAGCCGGGACACCGGGCCCGGGATCGCCGAGCCCGACCTCGGGCGCCCCGCCGGTCACCTCCCCGCGCGGACACCAGGTACACCGTCCCTGGCCCCGCCCGGCCTCTCTCCCCTCGGCTGCTAGGGGAAGTGGGGAGGAGGAGGGAGGGGGCTGGGCGCTGCCGGCAGTGAAGGGGCCTCCTCCCGGCCCCGCTGAGCCAGCAGGCGCCCCTCCCTGGGCCTCAGTTTTTCCATCTGTCAAAGGGGACAAAGAGAGGAGAGCTAATACTTGCTCAGTGCCCAGTAGGTGAGATGAGGGCTGCGAGCCGGGGGTCAAGGCTTCCCAACTGTCTGGCGGAGGACAGATGATCACTCCCATTGCACAGGTGGGGAAACTGAGGCCCAGGGAGTAAAACCGACTCGTCCCAGGTCACATACATCGTGAGACCGAGTGGAGTTGGGATTCGAACTCGCAGGTGCTTTCAGCTAAGCGCCGTCCTCCAACCCCGCATGCTTTAGAGCCACCCAAAAGGAAAAGCGACAATAACAGGGTCATAGGCCGTTGTGAAGCTGAAAGTTGCAGAACGCGTTTGAAAGCATTTTTTGGAAAGGTCTTTTTCTGGGTCATGAGTTATACCCTGGGAGATGGGTTGCAGGGGGACAGAACTGGAGATTTTTTCCCATTGTACAGATGGGAAGACTGAGGCCCAGGGAGAGTTAATTACTTTTTCCAGGTTCCACTGCATGTCAGTTGGGAAGGTATGCTCAAACCCAGGATTTTTGCTTTGCGGCCCCAGCGGAAAGTGTGGGGCGGGGTGGGGGGCAGTGCGGGGAGAATTAATGTACGAGCGTTGGGAATTCAAACGGTCCCAAGTTAGGGTGGAAAGATGGGGTGGGGATCCCAGTCTGGGGGCTAAGGGCCGGGGCGACTCGGTGTTCTCGGATTGAGCACTGGTCTGGGGGCTGGAACCATCCCCACCTCTGGCCTGGGGGTGGGGGGCAGGGGGCAGGGGGCGGGGCCCAGGAGAGTGACGGGGACAGTCGAGATACGGAAACGCCAGCCCTCCAAGGCAGGCCAGAGCGGCCCTATCTGGCCAGCGTGGCTCAGTGGAGAGCTAGAGCGGCCGGCAGGAGGAGTAGAGTCTCCTAGGCTGGAGCCTGGCAGGAGCGGGCTAGAGCGGCTGACGGGAGGAGTGGAGCTGGAAGCAAAGGTGGACTCTGGGGTGGCTAGAGCGACTCGGAGGCGGGGGTGGGGGAGCCCGGAGCCGGCGCGCGGAGGCTTCGGTGCAGGCCAGAGCGGCCCTATCTGGCCAGCGTGGCTCAGTGGAGAGCTAGAGCGGCCGGCAGGAGGAGTAGAGTCTCCTAGGCTGGAGCCTGGCAGGAGCGGGCTAGAGCGGCTGACGGGAGGAGTGGAGCTGGAAGCAAAGGTGGACTCTGGGGTGGCTAGAGCGACTCGGAGGCGGGGGTGGGGGAGCCCGGAGCCGGCGCGCGGAGGCTTCGGTTCTGGCAGCAGCGGTGCTTCTCCTCCGACCCGGAGCAGGTGAGGGACGCGGACCCCGGCGGGCGTCACACCTTGACTCCACACGTCCTCCCCAGCATCCCTGACCATGCACACTGCCACGTTCCCTGTAGGATTTGGGGCCGTGTACACCCGCCACGTCCTACATATGATTTGGGGCTCGTGTAGACCCGCCACGCTCCATGTAAATTACAAGGTCCTACAGACCCTCCAGGTTCCTGCTGCCCCCCCCTCCCCGCCGCCCCATGGAGGTCCGGCTCCTTACAGATGTGGGGTTTCCATAGATCAATAGCATCCTCTAGAATCCGGGGCCCTGTAGATCCTGGGTCTCGGGGACCACCACACTCCCCTATAGAATTCTGGTCCCCTTTTAAGTCTCCAGAGATCCCGTAAACTGGCTTCTTCCCCTTAAGGACTTATGATCCTGTGTGATCCAAGGATCCTTGTAGACCCATTATATGTCAGTTAGAATCTGGGTCCTTATGCATTCCAAGGGCTCACCTTGACTACTCAGTATTTTAGGTTCTTACGGCTCCTAGAGGTTCTTGGAGACCGGGCTCATCCACTCAATATCTTATAGACCCTGAGCCCTGCATAGAACCCAGGCACCCATGTAGTCCTCACACATGCCCGCTTTGCTCTAGGACCCCCGCCCTAGAGGACCTTCTGAACCTGCCCTCGTCTCCACAGCCCCATGCACATAACACCCCCTCTGCTGGACCCCCGGGCTTGTCAGTTGCCTTTAGATCCATCTGACCACTTCAACCCATCATTCTGTAGCCTTTGTGGGACCACGCCCCATCTTCTAAGCAACCAGCCCCCTCCCAAATCCTCTCTGAGCCCCAGGCCTCTGTGGGGCAGCTGAGTCCAATCTGCACTCCTGCCCAGGCCACAGTGCCCACATACCCCTCACTCCCAGACACCATAGGGAAACCTGATGTGTCTCAGCTTTGGTTCAAATTTCAGTTTCCTAAGGTCGGGGTGGGGATTCCCCATTCTCCAAAGCCGTACATTCTGGGAGTTAAATGCATAAATTCTGGAGCCAGACTGCCTGGGTCGGAATCCTGGCTCTGCCTCTTATGAGCTGTGCTGCAGTTTCCTCCTCTGTAAAATGGGGTTAATAATAAGAAGAAGACTGATTTCACAGGGTCACTGAGAGGATTGAGTTAATATCTATCAAGCATTAATACTGTTCCTGGCACGTATTTAATGGCACTTAAGTGTTAACTATTATTTCCTATCATTGTGCTGAGGAATAAAAGAGATAATACATATCAACTGCATGTTCTGGGGCCTGCCTGGCACGTAAGCATTTGCTCAGATAACGTGTGTGTCCTCACCTTTGCCCTTTTGGAATCTTCCCTGCTTCTGTCAAACTTTTCCACCCCTGAGCGGGATGAGCAGGGACCCTCCATGTCCATGGTCATGCTTTCCAGCCCAGAAGTTGCAGCTGATGGCCTGGTGAAGGTTTTCTTTTTCTTTCTTTCTTTCTTTTGTTTTTCAATATTTATTTATTTGGCTGTGCCAGGTCTTAGTTGCAGCATGCGGGATCTAGTTCCCCGACCAGGGATCGAACCCAGGCCCCCTGCATTGGGAGCACGGAGTCTTAACCGCTGGACCACCAGGGAAGTCCCCGGTGAAGGTTTTCTATCTCGGATGGGAGTGATAATAGCATGGGGGTGCTTGTGGTTTTGAGGATTCAGTGATTTACTCTGTGAGAAGCACTTAGGGCAGTGCCTAGCACACTGTAAGTGTGGTGTAAGTTCAGCTCTCATAATAAATTACTATTATTTTTCTGCCTTGTTTTGCAAATTTATTTATGTGAACATTTAACAATGCTCAGATCTTAAGTCACCCAAGCTTGGATGTTGAACAAATACACTTTATGGAAAAGAATAAAAATGAGGCCTGCTTGGGTGAACCCATAGGATGGCATTTGGACACTCCAGAAAGCATCATTGTTTAATGATCATAATCAAAATCCCAGCTGCCATTTATTGAGTGCTAGGGAGGCGGCCTGTGGAAGAGGGAGAAGGGTGGGTCCGCAGCGACTAGGGTTATAAATAGCTTTGGGCTGTGGGGAGAACCCCCTCGCACTGGTCCACCCCACCCCTGTTTCCACAGCGCCTTCCCACCTGACACGGGCTCGAGTGGCATTAGTCAGACTAATTAAGGACACAGAAGATGTCAGTGGGAAGACGCGGGGAGAAGTGGAGATTCTAAGGGAGACAAGATGGGAGAGACAGCGAGAGATGGGAGGGAGAGAGACGAGAGACAGCAAGTGAGACAGTGACGCAGACAGGTACGGGGACAGTGGCTGCAGGAACCAGATGTGGGGAGACAGGCAGAGGCTGGGGGGAAGGACAGGGAGCAAGAGAAGCAGGGGTGGGACCTAGCAGAGGGGAGGCAGGGACAGTGGGAAAATGAGACAGGTCTGAAGGAAAGGCGAGAGAAAATGAAGAAACAGGGAGAAGAGAGTCAAAGGCATGAGGCAGATTCAGTGGAGAGGCAGCTGGGGAGAGGCGAGCCGGCAGACACACAGACAGACGGGACAGGTGGACACAGGGTGAGAGAGATAGACACCCCTTGGGATGAGCTCTCTGAGGACCATCCCTTGTTTTCTGGGATGGAAGCCGGAAAGATGCCAGGTCCCTGAGGGGAGGAAGTGGGGTCGAGGACTCTTGGTCCTGAGGGAGGAGGGTTCACAGTTTGGTTTTCTCGTGTGGAGAGAGTTGGGGGTTGGGGGTTTTGCCATTGTGATTTCCTGTCACAGGAAGCAGGGCTGGTGGGTTCAGAGGCAGCATCCTGCCCCAAGCCTGTCACAGGTCAGAGCAGAGCCCCCATGCCCCAATTATCTCCCTCCCAGCTCCCCTTTAGCCTTTCCACCTCTGCTCACCCACCGGCCCTGCCTCCTCCGGATTCAGCCCCCAGCCCATCGGGGACCCGAAATCGCAGGCTCTCAGGGCCACAGCTCTCTCACGGACCCAGGCTCCTGGCCTCAGCTCCACACCCCCCACCCCCCACCCCCCCCCCCCACCCCCGCCACCCTCCACCACCCACAAGGCTCCCTGTCCTTGGGCTCCCTGCCCTGGCTGGCCTCTGAAGGGCTCTTTGTCGCCACACAGAGGCCCCATTGAGCTGTGGAGGCCGCGATGGCGGTGGAGGCTGTTTACTCACCTTGGCACCTGGGCCAGGAATCTGTGAGTAACCGCCCTGGGCCGCCCTCTCCCACCCCTCTAACCGCGGCCCCTCCTCTTCCCCCAGCCCTGCAGAGCCCATGGAGGCCGAAGACGTTGCCCGAGGGGCGGTGAGTGGAGAGAGCGGAGAGAGCGGAGGGGTGAGGGGACTGGGGGGCTGTGCGGTGGGGAGCACTGTGGGCTGAAGCCATCCCTCCCCTTCCACAGGCCCCAGGGCCCCCCCGGCCTGGCCTGGTGCCCGTCTGCATCATCGGGGCTGAGGACGAGGATTTTGAGAATGAGCTGAAGACGGTGAGAGGGAGGTGGGGTGGGAAAGCTTCTGTCCCAGGCTCCCTGGGGCTCCAGCCCTCAAGTCCCGACCTCAGTGTCCCCTCTCCCACCTTGGGTCCTGTTCTGTGTCTTCAGATGCTGTCACTCGGCCTCCTCTCACTGCCCATCTCTCTTTCTTTAATCTTCCTGGTACCTCCTTCCTCATCCCCTCACCCCATCCTCAATGCCTCCCCCATTACAGCACAGACTCTCACCCTGTTTAACCCCCGTTTTTATCGCTGCCCCCGCCTCCTAATTACAGCACAGATCCTCATTCCATCTCTCCTGATTTCTGTCCTCTTCACCCACCATTGTAACATTAAATCTCATCCATCCAACCCAACCCCTGACTTGCCACCATCACAGCAGAGACACCATCAGCACCCCACCTGCCAGCTTGGATCCATCGGGAAGTGCCAGGGAAGAGGGAGGGTCAAGCCCCAAGCCCCTCCTCTGCTCCCCACTCTCTCACCCCCAGAACCCCGAGGAGCAAAACAACCAGTTCCAGAGCCTGGATCAGGTGAAGCGACGCCCGGCCCACCTCATGGCCCTCCTGCAGCACGTGGCCATGCAGTTCGAGCCGGGACCCCTGGTGAGGGCGGGGCTGGGCCGGCGCGAGGCGGGGCGGGACAGGGATGGGACCAGCCACAGTGCTCAGTGCGTTAGACCAGCGAGGATGAGCCAGGCGGGATCCAGAGCGCACAGCTTGAGAGCCAGGAAGCCCACCACGGGATGCAGACAAGGTTGCAGGTGCCCCGTGTAAATTTCTGAGCAGTGGGCGCAGCCCGGGAGAGTAGGCACTGCAGAGTCTCGCAGAGCAGCAGAGAATCCAGCAGCCTGGCGGAAACCATGCCCCCGGCCCCGTTCCGTGCCCACGGCAGCATCACCCATCAGTGACAGCGCCTTTTCACAGACTCTGGAAATCAAATTCTCTGCACGTGCCACCAGTCAGTCCTTCAGAGCTGGTGGTTGGGAGAAAACCATTAGCCTCCTCGGGTCTAGGTGGCACAGTAGGCTCTGGCCCAGAAACAAGGAAACTGCTACAAGCAGCCCACGAGGCAGAGGGAATGTAACGGATGACCCGGAAAACTTGTTATCGGGCAGAAAATACCGGGGAGGTGTGCATGCAGAGCCGTGCCATCTGGGAGACACCTGCAGAGTCTAGAGAACGCAGCAGGTGACTTGGGGAGGGAGAAGCCACAACACGGGCTGGAGGGGGCTCTGTGGACCAGGGTCCCGTCCCAAGAAGACCCCGTGCAGCCCAGCGCAGGCTGGGAGCTGGGCTTAGCCTAGGGCAGTGCTCTGTACAGGAAATGCGTGGTAGATCCCTCCAGAAAACAAGGAGACTGATGGAAGTGTCAGGGAGGGAGGCCCTGGGGGGTGCAGAGAGAAGAGTGTATCGACTGATACCAAAGCTTCAGAAACTGGCAGGCAATCAGGAAATTGCCAGAAAAGTGGCTACCCCTCCCCTGGTGCACGGAGGCTCTGGCGCTCTGGGCAGGGGAGTCCCCCTGCTGAGCCTGAGGGTTTCTAGAATTTGAACTCCTGGAATTTAGCCCAGGGATTGTGCTGACTGCTGTGCCCCTTTTTTTTTTTTTTTTTTTTAAAGAAGATGTTGGGGGGAGGGGTTTAGTAAGTTATTTATTTATTTTTGGCTGTGTTGGGTCTTCGTTTCTGTGCGAGGGCTTTCTCTAGTCGTGGCGAGCGGGGGCCACGCTTCATCGTGGTGCGCGGGCCTCTCACTGTCGCGGCCTCTCTTGTTGCGGAGCACAGGCTCCAGACGCGCAGGCTCAGTAATTGTGGCGCACGGGCCTAGTTGCTCTGCGGCATGTGGGATCCTCCCAGACCAGGGCTCGAACCCGTGTCCCCTGCATTGGCAGGCAGATTCTCAACCACTGCGCCACCAGGGAAGCCCTGCCCTGTCCCTTTACATATGTGGAAACTGAGGCCTGGCCGGGGCCAGGGGTTCGGCTCAGGTGACCCAGATGGCCTTCGGCATTTTGAGAGTTGTCCTCGTGCTGTTTCCTCACCCCCTTGGCTAGGGGAGGGGCCAGGAGATAGCTGTGGTCCCTTGGGCTGCTTCCTGTTGGCCTCTGATGGAGTTTTGCTTTATGGGGGCGTGGGGAGGGGGCAGGCGTAGATTACTGGGGTGAGTCCTTAGCACACAGAGACCATGTCCCTTACCTGATGAGAGTCCCCCAGGAGCCAGGACAGGTTGGAGGCCCCACAGCATTGCCAGTGTCACCCAGCATAGGACTGCCATGTAGGCGACCTAAAGGAGTGCTTGATGAATGAGTGAGTGAGTGAGTGCCCACGTCCTCCTGTTTATGTGCCCAGTGCCGCTGTGTACTAGGCCCTGTGTGGGACACAGATGAATCAGAACGTCCCCCCTGCCACAGACACACACACACGCGCGCGCGCGCGCGCACACACACACACACACACACACACGCCCTCAAGTAACTCACGGTATTGCTAGGCAATGGGGAGCAGTAGAGACAGGCTGCCTGAGATCCAGTCCGAACTTCGTCACTTACTAGCTGTTTTCTCATCTGTAAAATGGGATAACGGTAGTCCTCCCCGTGACCGAACAGGTTAATGCGGCTAAAGAGTTTGCACAGCGTCGGGTACACACCCAGCCCGCTTGCTGTAGTTGGGGGAGGCGGTAGTAGCAGCAGAGAGAAGACGGACCAAGGAACCATTTCACAGGAGAGAAAATGAACGAAAGCCGTGGTGGCCTGAGGAGGCAGGCGGGGTCCTGGTACGGGGATGGGGGACATCAGGGAGCACTTCACAGAGGGTTTGCGCCCTGAGGCGTTCCAGGGGGCAGTGCGGTCTGGGTGGGGTGGGAGGAGGATGGGTCACGCTTTGTCTCCCCCAGCTCTGCTGCCTGCACGCGGACATACTGGGCTCACTGGGCCCCAAGGAGGCCAAGAAGGCCTTCGGCGACTTCTGCCACAGCTTCCTGGATAAGTGTGCGGTGAGAGACCCCTTCGAGGGGGCCCCATCCCCCGTCCCCTTCACCCTGGACAGCCAGCCTGCTCCTCCCAACCTCCAGCCTGCTGAGGGCAACGTGAAGGGCGGCCTGGTCTGGGGAGACCCTGTGCCAGCCTGACCCCCCCCCTCCACTGCTCCCTCCCCTTAGAGCATCGTACCCACTGGTGCTTGGGCTGCCATCCCATTGATCCCAACACTGCCCCCTTCACTGCGGAGTCCTCCCCTTCACTCCATTCTCTCCCCTGAGCAGATTCTGCGGGTGTCGGTCCCTCCCACCGTGGCCTTTGAACTTGGTAAGGAGAAGAGAGGGGATTTGGGGCTGAGGAAGTGTTCTCTAGCAGGGGCCAGGAGCGCCCCGGGAGGGAGGCCGCACTCTCGTGCTCCCAGGACAGGGGGTTGATCTTCCTTCTTCATGGCCACCACAGCCCAAGGAAGCAAAGCTGTCAGCGTCGAGGGGTAGGAGGGGAGTCACGACCCCCGGGACTGGCCCCTGTCCCTGCAGACCGCACGCGGCTCGATCTCCTCTCCGAGGACGTGCAGCGGCAGTTCGTGCAGGAGGTGGTGCAGACCCAGCAGGCAGCCGTCAGCCGGCAGCTGGAGGACTTCCGCTCCAAGAAGCTCATGGGCATGACACCCTGGGAGCAGGAGCTGATCCAGCTGGGGGCCTGGGTTGGGCGGGACCGCGCCACCTATGAGGCCCGCGAGCGGCACCTGGCCGAGCGGCAGCTGACCCACCTGGAAGAGATGCAGTGAGTGGGACCGGCCCCTCCGCAGCCCCGAGGGCGCCCTCTGCCGCCCCGTTCCTTGTTCTTCCAGGCTCCCTCTGCAGCTGCAGCGTTTATTTCCCAGCGTTTGGGCTCCTCCCTGACTTCTGGGGCCCAGCCCTGGCATTTTAGTCCATCTGGTTTGGCATCTTCCCTTCCCAGCTTTGGGGTCCCTCCTAGTTTCCGGGTCTTGTCCACGGTCTTGCATTCAGGCCTGGGCTTTGGGTCCTGTCCTTGCAACTCTCACGACCTCGGGAGAGAGTCTGTCCTTCAGTGATGGTCCTTCCCAGATGCGATGCGTCAGCAGCAGCCCCCCCACCCCACCCCGTCTGCCTCTCCTCTCTCCCTGTGCCAGCTTTGGAGGGGACAGCAACCTAGACAATTGTGCTGGGTGGTCAGGGACCCCAGGCTTAGCAAATTTGTTACAGACTTCTTTCTTCCTCTTACAGACACACCATTTCTAACGATGAGGAAAAGAGGTGATGGAAGGAGAGAGGCCGGCGGGGAGTTTGGTTTTCTGGGCCCGAGGGAGGAGGGCCTGCCGCCTAGGGGCCTGGGCGTTGAGCAACACCTCTGGCTCCATCCTCTAAAACCCTCTCTCTCCCCGCTTTCCTCAGATACTCAGC